AAAAGAAACTGTTTCTCAGTCTATTAGTCCTCATTTTAAGACACCTATAACGCCTCCCTGATGGCAACAATTCGAAATAAGAATGTCCAGGATGAGAATGGTCTGTGGAGATTTTTAGTGCTCCAGAGAGGAGTCCGGTCTTCGCAGTCTCTTCCAAAGAAGAAAGAGAGCAACCGATGATTTTTTGTGCTGTGTTTATAACTCCCTGGAGCATCTTCTTATCCACTGCAGAGCATCCAGCACACCACACCGTTACACAGTATGCCAGAATGCTCTCAGTGGTAGAACGGTAAAAAGTAACCAGCAACTTCTCACCCAGACCGCTCTTTTTCAGCAGCCTCAGAAAGGGCAGGCGCTGTTGGGCCTTCTTTGCAGTGGCCATAGTGTGGACTGACCAAGTAACGTTGTCAGAAATCTGAGTTCCTAGAAATTTGAAACTATGAACTCTTTCCACACAGTCTCCATTGATATATAGCGGGAGAGGCTCTGCTTTGCATCGTCTGAAGTCTATAATCAATTCTTTGGTCTTTTGGATGTTCAGGGCGAGGTTATGACTCTTGCACCACAAGACCAGTCTGAGAACCTCTGACCTATAGGCTGTTTTGTCTTCTCCTGATATGAGTCCCACCAACGTGGTGTCATCTGCAAATTTTATTATAGAGTTAGTGGGACAAGTGGGAGTGCAGTCGTAGGTGTAGAGTGAATACAAAAGGGGGCTCCGCACACAACCCTGTGGAGAGCCAGTGCTGAGAGCAAGAGTGGAGGGAAAATAGCTGCCGTTCCTAACAGTTTGGGGTCTTTTAGTAAGAAAGTCCTTTATCCAACAGCAGATGTGAGAGGAGGGGCCCATTTCTAGCAACTTCTTAATCAGTATATCCGGAATGATGGTATTAAAAGCCGAGCTGTAATCAATAAAAAGCATCCTTACATAGCTCCCACTATGCTCCAGATGGTTCAGTGCAATGTGGAGAGCCATGGCAATAGCATCCTCTGTGGATCTGTTACTCTGATAGGCAAACTAGTATGAGTCAAGGTTTGATGGGAGGCAATCCTGTATATATTTTAAGACCAGTCTCTCAAAACACTTGATAATTATGGGTGTGAGAGCTACCGGTCTATAGTCTTTTAAAGTATTTCAGGAGAGGGCTTTTGGGGAACTGGAATAATAATGGAAGTTTTGAGACAAGATGGAACAATGGCTTGTGTAAGAGAAAGGTTAAAACTATTTGTAAACACATCTGCGAGCTGGTCAGCCCATGCTTTGAGTACCTTCCCAGGTATCCCATCAGGGCCAGCAGCCTTTTTCACATTCACTGCTCTAAGCACCTGCTTCACATCATACTTTTGTACTGTGAACAGCTGAGTACCAGTGGTTTGTAGAGGCAGTGTGTTCGAAGACCTATTCAGTTCGAACTGGGCAAAGAAGCAGTTCAATTCTTCTGACAGTGATGCGTCCTTATTGATCGATATGGGGTTGCTGCCCCTGTAATTAGTGATGTGTTTGATTCCCTGCCATCATTATTTGGGAAGTAGTCCTCAATCTTCCTTTTATAGTCCCTTTTTGCCTCCTTGATGCCCCACCTCAGTTCCGCTCTTGCCTTGTTATGCCAAAACCTGTCCTCAGACCTGAATGCCATATCATGTGTCCTGAGAAGTGATCGCACGTCCTTGTTCATCCAGGGCTTCTGGTTTGGAAAAATGTGGATGCGCTTATTCACAGTAACCATATCCACACAGGTCAAGATGTAAAACAGGACAGTTTTTGTATATTCCTCCAAATCCTCTTGTTCCAATAAATTCCAATTAGTATTTGAGAAACAATCCTGCAGCTGGTGAAGTGCTCCCTCCGGCCAGATCTTGATGAGTTTGATTTAAGGGTTAGTTTTCCTTCTGAGGGGGGTGTATGCTGGTATAAGGAACAGTGATAAATGATCTGAAAGCCCCAGATGTGGAAGGGACACTGCTTTATATGCATGTTTTACATTAGAAGACACATGATCAAGTGTGATGCTTCCCCTGGTGGCACATGTCACATACTGAATAAATTCGGGAAATACAGTCTTTAAGCATGCCTTATTAAAATCACCAGTTTAAGCTTATAATGTCTGCAATGACACAGCAGGATAAAAACCTACAAGTTGTAAAGTTGTAATAGAGGCGTCTCCTACTTTTCTCTCTGTCTGTCTCTCCCTCCGTGTGTGTGTGTGTGTGTGTGTATGTGTGTGTGTGTATATATATATATAGTCCTCAACTTATAACAGTTCATTTAGTGACCATTCAAAATTACAATGGCACTGAAAAAAGTGGTTTATGACCGTTTTTCACACTTACAACCGTTGTAACACCCCCATGGTCACACGATAAAAATTTGGACACTTGGTAACTGGCTCATACTTAGGATGGTTGCAGTCTCCTTATTTCCAGGTTGAATCTCTCCTTGTTCACTTTCCATCCATTATTCCTTATCTGGCCTTTGGGTGTCTTGGAAAACAGCTTGACCCCCTTCCTCCTCTCCGTGGCAGCCCCTCAAATATTGGAAGACTGCTCTCCTATCTCCCCTGATTCTTCTCTTCACTCCATTGCACCCTAAGCTACAATTTACAACAAGAGAATCCACATGTTGCTCTAACCCAGATTCAAGAAAACATGATTTGGCAGAGAAAACCACTGACAGAACTGTCTAAAATAATACTCCCTATAGAGAGGGTTAGAAAGACAGACTTTTCCTTCCAATTCCTAGATTCTGGGTTCATCCATTGAAGATAAATAGTGAGAGATTCAGAACAAATTAAAATGAAGCAATTCTCCACATAGTGCACGACAATTAGCATGTCCAACTGGCAATGAATCCTACTACTTGTTTATCCATCATGTAGGGAATTATTTTGCTTCCTCTGCCCTGTATCCCATTAATTTAATTTAATAATTCTGGTTATGAAAGAGGAAGAAAATGTTCTTTATCCGTTTTATCTGCTACAAGCTTCACCTCAGATGTTTCAGAAGTTTTCTTCCCTAGATAGGTCTCCATAACTAGCATATCAAACCCTTGGGGACTACTTGCTGAAGAAAACAAAGCCAGCTTTCCACATCACCACCAACCTGAGAGCAGGTTTACTCACCATCTTCCATGTCTTCTTCTGTGTTGTTGTGACCATCAGCCATGGCTACATTCCCATTGATGACTGGATTTGGGGTAATTCTTGGTGGATCATCGGCATCTCCAGCTTTTGAGGACAAAGAAGACAGAAGCAGATCAATAAATGGGGACCGTGCCAGCAGTGTGGACCAATATAGCGAAGGAATGGATAAAGCGTTTTGTCTCAATATGGCAACATCCTGCTTTGTTGGGTTGGCAGTCCTAATGTTACCATGTTGGGAATGGGATGAGGAGCAGGGCAGGGGGCAACAGTAGGGAAATTTTATATATAAATTCAAAAAAACAAAAAGAGCATTAAACAGCCACACAACTGTAACACGCCATCAATATTCACCTTACTAGTTCACTTGAACTGTCTCTTCCTGTACATAAAAGATGGCAAACAGAACAATTTATCAGCAGATAAATAATGTTTGAAAATATTGCCCTTCTAGCTTTGCAAATTACACTTCTAACTTTATCATCTCTCTCACACACACACTCTCCCCCCCACAAAGAACGTTTGTATTAATGAAATACTTCAGCTCATTTTTCTGGAAAGTAATCCCAAATAAGAAAAATAATAAATATTGTCACAATGGTTTGATGACAGACTGTTGCTTCTAATTTTCTTTCTACAGTAACCCCAGCTTATTCTTGCTAAAACTACTCAGAATTATTATTAATGTTAAAAGTTGTCAAAACATAGGTTTACACCACTTTTCACCCACATCTGGCAAATTGATATAAAACTAGTATGTTCTTTTTTTTTCTCCATTACAAGTGAAGCATCTGGCCTTCAAAAGGCGATTCAGCACCCAGGACAGAGCTTCATTGGCCTTCATTGCACAGAATTTACCACCAAAGTTATATCACTACAGGTGCTGACTTCAGTGATCTTAGGGGAAAACACAGTGCTGAGTGTAAGAAATTCCAAAAAACAAAAGTTGGCTTCAGAAAGTGTGCTTTGTCTTATGGGAAAACTGTAAAATTTGCTAAGCGCATTATTTTGTGCATTTAAAATGAGTTGGAAAATGCAAGACACAGTTGAGGCCTCTTAATTGTAATAATGTAGAATCCTTCATTATCCCTACAGTCAAACATGCTAACTAGCGCAAAAGAGTCATATTTACAGGAAAACTGCATAAAGAATTAAACCATTCGTACCTTAGTGTTGCCAGATAAACAGTTATCCCCCTCAAAGTCAGAAAAATAGTAGAGCCAGCTGTACCTAAAATATAGTTTGGCCCTTTAATACTTTGGAATTGTATCATTAATATTCTGTTTTCTACTACTGGCCTACTGTTTTTTTCCTGCTTTGAAAAGTTTTCCAAGTTACTTGGTAATGCTATAAATTTTTTATTATTTAATGTAGTATCTCCAAAATGCAAAGTCTTATTTTGCTTGCAGTAATGGAAGTAAAGGATTGCATTTTTAATTCACAACTTACTGTTAGGCAGCAACTAATTTTTCATTATCCTTACAAAGGAATGCCCTTTTGTTTAGGATAGGATTTCCAGCCCTGTGGATTTCACTACAACTCTCAATTCTCCCAAGCTGTCATAGAAATTGCCCACCGTACCTGGAGGTTACTAGGAAAGGGCTCTTTTATTTAAAGCTAGTTTATTATTACATGTAGTCTTTGACTTATGACTGCAATTAACCTCAAAATTTCTATTCCTAAGCAAGACATTTGTTAAGCGAATTTTGCCTCATTTTGTGACCCTTCTGCCGCATTTGTTAAGTGAATCACTGCAGTTGTTCAGCTAGTAATATAGTTGTTACATGAATCTGGTTTCCCCATCGAACTTGCTTGTCAGAGGGGCGCAAAAAGTGATTACAAGACCCAGAGACAATGCAAGCGTCATATATATGAGTCAGTTGCCAAAAAACTGAATTTGATCACTTGATCAAATGAACTAAATGAGCTTTGTAAGTTGAGGGCTATCTAAATTGCCAACACACAACTTATGAACTAGATACTTGGTGATCTATAACTAGTTATACCTTCTTGATTTAAACTATTGGACAAACTGAGACTGGTTAAAATAGTCTAAAAATTATGGGATGGGTGGTTTTTTTTGTTTTTGTTTTAAATGTGACTGGGTATGTTACAATTTTTACCAAAGCGAAATAGAGTTTAAAGAGCTTTTACTTCCAGACTTCTATAAAATATCCACATTGCACCATAAATGGAAACATCATACCTAAACGACTTAGTTGGACATAGTCTGTTCAAATCTGATTTAAAACTTTTCCTGCTCAGTGGCATGCCTCGTTCATATGATATGATTATATAGAGAAATTCTTTCCCAACCTGGCGCCCTGCGGATTTCAAATAATCAACGCTGTAGGAAGGGGGCACTCAGACTATCAAGCCCAATTAAGACTCCAAATTAAAGCATTCAATAGAAGAGAATATTTATAGCTCAGGATTGAACCCATGGGTCCATGGGACTCTCTTGAGCTTGGTTTTCTTGCAGATGGTTCATGACTCAAACCAGGTAACATCATTAATGATGACAATGAATTAAAACAGTGGTTGCCAACCAGTGGGCCAGGGACCATCGGTGGTCAGCGAGAAAATTTTGGTGGTCCGCCGAGAAATGTCCCCCCCAAAGCAATTAATCCAGGCTGTGCCCACATGGCCTGCGGGAACACAAGGCTTGCGTCGCTTGCATTGCGAGCAACATGAGGTAGTGAGGGGAGGGGGCAAAGGGCAAAGGGGGGGAACTTGCCCCACTCACCCCATGTGTCTCGCCTGGCCCCCGGGCTGCTTCTTTCCACTTCTTTTTTCTTCTGCTTTTGGCTGCACGCAAGGAAAGCAGCAAAAGTCTTTCTTTCTCTCCCCCAAACTCCGCCAGAAATGAGTCTTTGGGACCCTGCAAGGCCTCCTGCTCCAAGAGGCTGTGCTGGCACAACAAGTCTCACCAAGACTCATTTCTGGCGGAGTTTGGGGGAGAGAAAGAAAGACTTTTGCTGCTTCTGCTGTTTTCCTTGCACAAAGCCAAAAGTCTCTCTCTCTCTCCCCCTGAGAATGGAGCTGGAGATGGTATCCTGCGATCCCAAATAAAGAATGGATCAATCAGTAGGAAAAAGGGGTGGGGAATTTTACTGCAGACTTTTTTGGGGATTTTCCCAGGGTGTGTAGTTTGCGGGATTTAAAATTATGAGTTTGGTGGTCCCTGAGGTCCAAAAGGTTGGCGACCCTTGAATTAAAGCATCCATGCCGGATGATTTTCTAGCTTTGCTGAAACACATTCAGTGAAGATACCAACACTGAGTAATCCGTACTGGTTCCACTGTCAAGGTTTTTTTTTTTTTTTAATAAGGAATATTTTCCTAACTTTGGGCCTTCCTTCCTTCCTTCATCCACAAAGTGACTCTGGGCAGCTTACAATGTTAACCATCCTGTAAAATAAAAATACCTTTTCATACTTGCTGTCTGAAACAACAGAAAACAGGTCTCCTTTCAAAGAGGGAAATTTAACATCCCTTTTAGTACTAAAAACACAAATCAGAAGACTTTTTCCCATTATTATTTAAAAAAAAAAGATACATTGGGAATTTAATCAGTGGCACAGGCATTTCCTTTAAAAAAAAAAATAAATTCACAGATTTTACACAAATTTGTGCCAGCTCTGGAAAACGCCAAACTGTCTTAGGAATGGAAAATAGTCCATTCCCGAACCAAGTGGATTTTGCCCATCCTTGTTAATCATCTTTACAATCCAGTCTGGTTTGTCACAATCCTTCGTAAAATGCAGTATCCAGAGCTCCATGCAAAATGTGATGAAAAGAGCATCTCCTGTGGGAAGATGCAATGTTTTCCCCTTCCCAAATAATTGGGGGAGAAGTCACCTTACATTGATGAGAGGAAAAGACAAATTAGCAGAGAGCTGCCAACGTCACTGCTGAAAAATATGAATGCCTCTGAAGACTGGCCTGAAAAATTAACCTGTTGCTTTGCCAGGGCAGTTCAACGGAGTGACTATAGTCTGTTAAAAATGCCTAAATTGATTATTTACTTCTTCCTTCCTTCCTTCCTTCCTTCCTTCCTTCCTTCCTTCCTTGTCCAAGTACCCTTTCACATAATCATAACTTTATCTTGTTCTTTCTCTCTCTCTTGCATTGTTTTTTCCTTTCGTGGAATTCCCTCCCTTTCAAATGCATTCTAACCATTCTAATGCACTCTTTGCCATAGTCATCAGTTGCTTTTTCAACATTCTTTTGGCCCATGTTATTAGCAAGCCAGGTACTTCACGCTCTGTAATTAAAACTGTTATTTCTTTTTCCTAAAGGCAGCATGTAGCCTCTGGACTTTATTCTGGCCTTTATAACTAAAAAGTGCTGGCACATTTAACTTTCCTTTATTTCGTAACTTTGAGATAAAAAAACCTAAGATGTTAGTGAAATGTCACACTAGGCCTAATAAAGTGTTAATAATAATCTCCCCCTCCACCGCAAACACCAAAGCTATAAATCACAACCCTAGTTACTGTAATCCAAGTTCTCCAAAATGTAAGTGGAACACAGCCACCAAAATGTCATACCCCTAACCTAAGTGAGAACGCTTCATTGCCTCAATTCATTTTTAGCCCATTTCCCAAGTTGATTACTTTTTTAAAAATCTTAAGGTATTAGCTATTCATTACAGTTTTATGTTGTCAACTAAATAAACATTCATTGGACTACAACTCCAAACTCACTTTCCAAAAAAGCAATGCCTTCTGCATTTAATCTACAGTACTACTCAATAAATGAAAATAAAACGTGCATAAGTGCACCATCGTGCCTACCGTCCCTGTCCTATTGTCCCCAATTATTAGTTCCAATTTCTTACATTTAAACTTATGTTTATTCTTATTTCTATTGTATTGTAAGCGTTTGACAAAATAAAATAAATAAAATAAAAATAAAAAATACATAAAATGAAAGCAACAAAATGATTGCAGGACTCCACAATCTACACAATTAGATAACAGTTTCAAGAACTAAGGTTAAAAGACGCAACATGTTTTCAAAAACCAAGGGGAGTAGGATCCAAAGGTAACTTTAAAAGAGTGCTTATTTCACATTTGATCTGGCACAAGGAAAGTCCTTTTATGTAGAATTTATTTACAGAAATCTCCTGAGATACCTAAAATTCAGTGATTTGGGAGGTTGAAATCTTGACAGTAGGACCTTAGAAGAGCAATATATCGAGAAAATAAAATCTCCAGATCATTCACAGACTGACAACCTATAGTTGTTGCAATCTGCACCTATGTAAAAGGTACGATTTTCTTATTTCAGATGGTTCAATAAAATAATTAAGGTCCATTTAATTTGCATAAAGTTGCTTAATAGAAGTACTAAATATAGCCACATCAAGGCAAACTTCCACAAACATGTTTGTTAACACCTCTGAATAAATTTGCAACATCTCAAAAATAGCTGCCTTAAGTATAAACATAGTTATGAGGAGTAACGGTAGAAAAAAAAAAAGAGTTCAGATTTTTCTGGCAGAAAAACAAATCAACACACACACACATACACAAACACACACTCCTGAAGCAGGTCTCTAATATGGCTAAAATCAAAACCCATCCCTGGTCAATCTCAGCCTATAAAAATCTGCTACTGTCGAAGCATGAAAACTATGTTTCCCACTGAGATTGACTGACATTTTAATAAAAATAAACCTTCCTTATTTGCTGAACAACGGATTTGATAAACACAAAGCCAATCTTCTGTGACAACCACTACTCGGTCAACTGGATGAGCGTGGTACAAACGGAAGATTAAATCAATCTGCTGGAAGTGACAGCCCATGATATTCACAGTCAACCAGTCTGAATGTTGCATACGGTTGCAAGCAGCGCATCTCCCTCCAGCTGCTCACAGGAGGAAACGACACGGGGTGCCTTGGTGATTAACCCTATTCCAGAGCTAAGGATTCTGAAGGAAACAGCATCAGCAGGCAACTGCATTTGACCAATATTTGTGTGAACGTTGAGAAATATCTGATTCATGAGTGAAGCTTAGCCCCGATTTTAAGATCTCACCTGGGTTGAAGACATAGAGTTCAAGCAGGCTCATGTTGATTTAAAAACGGCGCCAGGTAGAAGTCCTTCCTACCAGTGCAGAAAGGTAAAGATTGGCCTAACATCTATCTAGTGTGTCCAACCAGCTTGAAGATCAGTTACATCACCTAGAGAGTTGCAAGAGAAGTGATTAACCCACCCGGGCACCTTCCAGGGGTTCTCAAGATACAAGGTAAGGTTCTTCGTACGCAAGAACCTATACAAAGCATAAACCTCTTTGTCAAGTGGGGAGCGTAAGTTTTGGCCCACCGACGAATACAATGCAGAAGTGCTTCAACCATTAATTTCTTTTAGTCTTTACTGGCTGTTCGGCTAGAAGGAACCAAAGGACCTTCCAAGACCCCGTTTGGCTAAGGCAAGCAAAGCAAAGAGTCCCCTGGGGATATATCGGTGACTGACCCGCTCTGTCTTTTAGTTCACAGCCAGCAGCTGCAAAAGTTAAGACAAGGAGAAAAACCCAACAAGCAATTTTATGTCAACAATATACTGGGCGGCATTACTACCTAACAGCTGGTATGATCCTGAAAATGGCTCTTAGTAACTTTAGCTGTATGACTGTTCTATAAGACCCTTCTGTGAGATGCTGAGGGGTTTATTTTTTTTGGGGGGGGGGGGGGGGATTTGGCTGGCCTAAGGGAAAATTATTGTTAATTAAAAGGAAAGAAGGGGGGGATTTTAGAATGTGATTATTGGAAAAAATGTAGCAGCCTAATTACCAAATCTAGAAATAATTCCTATTACAAAAGGAAACTTCTGTCCAATTCTGAATAAGCCAAATAAGTAATCTAAA